CCCTATGACGTTATTACCCTGGTGGGACCCGCCACGTAGCCCCCAGTGACGTCATAGCTCTCCAGGAGACCCCAGTCATAGCGAACCCCCCCCTGACGTCACTGCCTCGGGGCAACCCCTCACAGCTCCACACCGCCCCTCCCGGTGACGTCACGGGAACTCCCCGTGGCTCCCCCCTGACGTCCCACGTGGGGTCCCCCCCGGCCACGTGGGCACCTCCCGGAAGCGCCGCTCCCGCTCCGCGCGCTGGCCCCGCCCTCCCGCGCACGCGCGAACCACGCGCGGCCCCCAAGGCAGCGTGGCGGGAGGGGGGGGGAGGGGGGAAACACCGCCCGGGGGCAGCAACCGCGAGGAGCGGCGGGAACCGCCACTATCGCGACAGGGGGAACGGGGGAACAGAGCCCCGACGGGAAGGGGGAGCACTACTCACCCGCGGTGCCGGCCGGGCCCGGAATGAGGCCGAGCCCGCCCCGCCCCGCCTTATCAACCGGCCCCGCCCCCGCCGCGCGTCACGGCCGCGCCGCCACGCGATTGGTCACCCGCTGGGACCCGCCCCCCCACTCCGCGCGGAACGGACCATTGGGGTGGGGGGGTTGGGCGGGGGGAAAGGAGCGCGTGGAACCGCCCGGGCCGGGGTGGGTGGGAGCTCGGGGACCTCGTGGAGTGCGGGGGCAGGGGGGGGTTCCCATGGGGGTCCCCTCGGGGGTCCGGGACACCCCGGTGGGTCCCGATGGGGGTCCGGGGGATCTCGGTGGGGGTCAGGGGGATCCCGGTGGGTCCCCAGAGGGGCCCCCAGGGGGGTCCCGATGGGGGTCCGGGGGATCCCGGTGAGGGTCCCGATGGGGGCCAGGGGGATCCCGGTGGGTCCCCAGGGGGGTCCCGATGGGGGTCAGGGGGATCCCGGTGGGTCCCCAGGGGGGTCCCGATGGGGGTCCGGGGGATCCCCGGGGGGGAGGGGTCGCTGGAAGGGAGGAGCGTTCCCGAGGGCTCTCGGAGGTCACACGGGGTCCCGGGAGGGGCTGGGAGGGGTTCACACGTGGGGTCCCTGGGGGGCTCACACAGGGTCACACCGGTCCCGGGGAGGCTTTAATGGTCGGTCCCGTTACAGCCGAAACGCCGCGGCCCCGCCCCGTCCCCTCCCCCACCGTGATGCCGGGGGGCGCGACCCCCCCATAGAATCCATGACCCCCCCCCATCCCCGGGGGCCAGAGGGGCTCCGCACACCCCACTCCCCCCTCCCGGACCCCGTGTGGGCTATAGGGAATTCCCCCACCCTATAGACACCCACAGACCCCCCGGGGGCCACAGGGACCCCCCCCCCGGCCCCGCCGAGCCCCCGAACAGTCCAAGGGCCCTTCCGAGGGGTTCCCGCGTCCCCCCCACCCCCGCAGGGCGATATGGGGGGCAGGGGGGGCCCGTCCCACTGCATATAAAAATCCACGCCCCCCGCTCCTCCCCCCTGTACATATATACACGGTACCCACGGAGACAGGGAGGGGACGAGGGGGGGGGTGAGGTTTGGCGATCCTGAGTGAGGGGGGGTGGGGTGAGATGGGAGTGACCTCAAGGTAAAGGGTGAGGAACCAACGAGTTCTCCCCCCAGGGCACGAATGGCCCTCAGTGTAAAGTGTCCGTTTTGTGCGGCCTCGGGGTGGGGGGGGAGCACATGAGTGACCCCAAAGTGAGGTGTCACCTCGGCATCGAGCAGGAGTAACTCTGGAGGAACACCTGATTTAGCCCAGGGATGGGGTCTGGGTAACCCTGGAGTGAGAAGTGGAGGCTGAGTGCTCTGTGAGTAAGGGATGAGTAATTTCAGAGCAAGGACTAACCTCAGAGTAACAACTGTGTGGCCATTGGGTGCGTAAGAACCTTGGAGTGAGGGATAAGCAACTCTTGAGTAAAGACTACTCCCCTCCCACTGGTGTACTGGGTAACTCTGCAATCTCAGTGTAAATTGTGACCTCTAGTAGCATCTGAGGAACTTCAACATAACAAACCTCAATACTGGACAACAGCAAGGGCTGAGTAACCTTGGAGTAAGAGCTGTGAACCCCAGGAGAGGGGTTGAGAGCATCCTGGAAGTGTAAAGGGTAAGTAAGACCACAGCAAGCAGCGAAGGAGGTGTATCCATTGGGTATCCTCAGAGGAAAGGCATGGAAGAACAGGGGGAGCAGAAACCACCAGAGCTGAGTAACATATGAGTAAAGATGTGGCACAGGTCAACTCAGCAACCTCTGAGTAGCACAAGGAGGGGCTAAGGAAGCGATTGGAGGGTGGGGGGAGCCTGTAAGCAGAAGAGGGGCTTTGTATTGTCTGAGTAAAGGTTGAGTAGCAAAGAAGGCGCTGCCAAGCAACCCCAAACCCACCACACCAGGGGGTAAACAGGGCTGGCCCACTAAGGCCTTAGTAACCTCTGAGTAAGCATTAAGTGTTGAGTAAGGCCTAAGTCCCTTCTGAGGACCCACCACACAAGGCCAGTGACAAGTGTGGAGCGAGTCAGCGTGAAGATACGTTTCAGTAACCTGCTAGTAAGGGTTGAGCAACCTCTGAGTAAGATGAGGCAGGCCAAGACTTGTGTGATGCTGGAGTGCAGCCTGGAGAACAAGAGAACCTGGGATACGAGCAATAAATAGGGAGAGCTGAGCAGCAGAAGGCTGAGTAACCTCTGAGTAAGGGCTGGGTCACTGCACGGCCGGGCAGCGACAGAGGAGCAAGCGCGTAACGTCCACGGAAGCACCGAGTAGGCCAAAGGGGTGGTAACCTCAGAGTAAGTGCAGGGCAAAGGCAAAGGAGAATGAACCACGTGGAGGGACCCTGGAGTAAGGTGCGAGTAGCAGTAAAGTATCAAGCAACGCAAAAGGATGAGCTGAGCAAGCCCAGAGTAAGGACCCACATGAGTAACCCTGGAGTAAGTTCTGTGTAGAAGTACTGAGTAACCTCAGGCTGGGTAAACTCAAAGGATACACCCAGGAGGAACCCTGGAGTAACTTCTGAATAGGGGCAACGTACCAAGTGACTTCAGACTAACAGCTGAGGAAGCTCAGAGTAAAGACACCCCCTCCCCCCCCGCTCATGAGTAACGCTGGAGTAAAATCTGGGTAGGAGTAAAGTACCAACCAACCTCGACGTAAGGGCCAGGAACGCTCAGAGTAACAATCCCACGAGCAACCCAGGAGAGGGAGGCTAATAACCTCAGCTGAGTAACATCTGAGTAATCGAGAGTAGAAAGGGAGTGACACTCCAGCAGTGAGCAAGTCGAGGCTGAGGAGTCAGGAAATAAGGCTGGAGTAGGGCAGGTGTGGCCGCAGAGCTGGGCCTGAGCTGCCTTGGAGTAAAGTCAGAGCTGGGCCTGAGTAACCCTGGGGTAACCCTGGAGTGAAGGGGGACCAACCTCGGAGTAAGCCCCCCCCACCCTGGGGAACCTCCTGGGAGGCGCCGAAGCCTCAAATAACAACAGGGTGACCCTGGAGTTGAGCGTAAGTAACCTCAGAGTAAGCCCAGAAGGACACTGTGACTCCCCTCCCTCACCCTCCCCGCCCCAAAACTGCTCCCAGGGTGGCCCTGCCCCTGCCAGGCCCTGCCCCTGCTAGGCCCCGCCCCCTCTGAGCCCCGCCCCTCAGGGGGAGGGACCCATATAGACTCTTATTTATAATATTGCCTTGAAAAAATAAAACTCGAAGTAAACTGGGGGGGGGGAAAGAAACCCCAGACTCAAGGGAACTCCCCCAAAAAATAGGGGGGACCCCAAACCCCCCTCCAATGGGGGGGTCCCACATGACCCCCCCCCAAATCCAGCAGCGGTTCTTCGGGGGGTCGTCTGGGGGGCCGTGGTTACCGGGCCAGGGGGCCCTCCCGTAGTTTTGGGGTGAGCCCTCATTTTGGGCATCACCCCCCAGTTTTGTGGCACACCCCCTCCCCCCCCCCTCAGTTTTGGGGGGTCCTGGGAGGTTGCAGCAGCAGTCCAGGGGCTGTGGGGAGAGGAAGCAGTTAAGGGGGGTGGCCCAAATGGATGAACCCCTAAATTTGCCCCCTCCCCCCCTTTTTAGGCCTTTCCCCATTCATAAGAGTTACTCCATTTTGGGGGTCTTTGAGCCCCAAATTTTGTGGGGGTCCGCAGTGGGGCAGCTCCCCCTTTTGGGGGTGTCCCCCCTATCTGGGGGGTATCCCCTGGTTTTGGGGTAAATCACCCCATTTCTGGAAAGGTCCTTTTCCAGGGGACTCTCCCAAATTTCAGATGTGTTTTGGGGGGCTTATTTTTTGGGGTGTTCCCCATACTTTCAGGCTCAATCCCCGGGGCTACTGCTCCTCAACTTTGGGAAGAGCCAATTAAGCAATCCCACAGGAGGGGTCTCCCATTTTGGGCAGCTCACCCGATTTTTGGGGGGCCCTACCTGCTCAGCATCAGAATTCGGTGTCGAGCACCCGGAAGGCGGAAGAACCTGCGGAGAAAACGAGGGGGGCAGGGTGTGGATTTGGGGAGGCCACAGTTTCGAGGGGGGTGGTCACAGTTTCGGGTGCTGACCTGGGGGGGGTAGGGGGGCCGTGCGCAGCCCCGGCTCCTTCTGCAGCTGGATCTCCTTCAGGGCGAAGATGGAGGTGGCTGTGAGGGGAAGAGGGGGTGGGCAGGGCCTCACGTCAAAGGGGTGTTACCACAGTAGAGGGGGCGTGGTTGTTTTCAAGCCCCATCCACTAGAAAACCACACCTTGATGATTTGCATAGCTCCTCCCACACCCCACTGATTTGTCACCCCACATCACTGATTTGCATAGCTCCTCCCACACATCACTGATTTGTCACCCCACATCACTGATTTGCATAGCTCCTCCCACACATCACTGACTTTTCACTCCCACATCATTAACTTGCATAGCTCCTCCCACACATCAATGATTTGTTGCCCCCACATCACCAATTTGCATAGCTCCTCCCACACATCACTAATTTGTCACCCCCACATCAACAATTTGCATAGCCCCTCCCATTCCTCAGAGGCTCCACCCACCAATGGCTAAACCCTGCCCCTCGAGCCCCTCCCACTGCCACCCAGTTCCACCAATGGTCACCCTCCCCCAGGGGAAGCTCCACCCCCTCCAAGGCTCCACCCTGCCCCAACAAGCCCCACCCCCCAAAACAGCCCCACCCACTCCATTGACTCCTCCCAACAAAGCCACACCCCCACAAAGCTCCACCCACTCCACAAATCCCCACCCTCTACAGCCCACACGAAGCTCCCAAGTGGTGGCCCCCCCACCCCCAGCCCCCACGATGCCCCCGTCCCCTCGTGCCCCCACTCACTGTCGGGCAGGGAGCTGACCCTTGGGCCCAGGCAGCCGAAGAAGGGGTGTGCCATGGCCTCCGCCGCCGGCAGCCGCCGTCGCCCCTCGAACTGCCCCGCCTACCGTCAGGACACGCCCACGGGGCGGGGACACACCCACAGAGG